CAAAAAAAAAAGAAAAAAAAGGAAAAAAAGAAAAGAAAAAAGAGAAAAAAGAGAGAAAGAAAAAAAATTATAGTATGCGAAATAAGTGAGAACGGGAAGAGGTTAAAAGTTAAAATAAATAATCAAATAATGAAAAAAAAAAAGGATGAAGACAGAATTACACAGAAAAAAAAACCTAAAAAAGGAGAAAATACAAAAAAGGAGAATGGAAGAAAAAAGACAAAAAGAAATAGATCGACGATGAAATATAAGATATAAGGATGAAAAAACTAAAAACTGTATATCAAAGCGATAAGAGAGAGAAATAGACTGATGAGGGAGAGAAAGAAGAAGAGAGAGAGAAGAGAAGAGAGAGAGAGAAGGAGAAAGTGAGAAGAGAGAAGAGCGAGAGAGAGAGGAGAGAGAGAGAGACAGGAGAAGAGAGAAGCAGCCGAGAGAGAGAGAGAGAGAGAGAGGAGAGAAGAGAGAGGAAGACAAGGAGAAGATGACGAGAGAGAGAGAGAGAGAGAAAATCCGCTTACTACACACAGAAAAAAACTGTCTGCGGTTCAACTTGGCATCTCGACCTTACCTTTTGAAACAGACATTTCTCAGCTTGTCCATATGAGCATTCCTTTTTTTACTCACATAAGGAGATTTTCGTTTCGTGCAGCATATGTGGACAATAAAGCTTTGTTTTTCGGCGTTCAACAGCTGGAACGAAAACAAACAAACAAAACAACATTCATAACTTTTTAATTCCGGTAAAATTAATGTGAAAAAAAAATTCATAAAGAGCAACAATAAAAGTGTTGGATGATATCGAAGAGGGAAAGGAGGAGAGAAGTGGGGAGGGGAGGAGGAGAAGAGGAAGGGGAAAAGAGAAGAGAAGGGAGGAGGAGGAAGAGAGGAAGAGAGGGAGGGGAGAGAGAGAGAGGGGGGGAGGAGGAAGTGGGGGAGAGGAGGAGGGGTGGGGGAAGAGAGGAGAGGAAGAGAGGAGGAAAGGAGGAGAGGAGGAGTGAAAGGAGGAAGGAGGAGGAAGTGGGGCAAAAAGGAGGAGGAAGTGAGGGGGAAATAAGGAAAATAGGACGAAAATAAGGAGGAGGGAGGAGGGTGGAGAAGGAGCGAGGTGGTTATGTGTGCAGTAGGAGGAGGAGAGGAGAGGAGGAGGAGAAGAAGGAGAAGAAGGAGAGGGGAGGAGGGAGACGGAGCGAGAGTAGGAGGGAAAGAGAGGAAGAGTAAGAGAGAGAGAAAAGAAAGTGATGATAGATAGATAGATAGATAGAGAGAGAGAGAGAGAGACAGAGCGAGAGAGAGATGAGAGAGAGAGAGAGAGAAGGAGAGAGGAGAGAGAAGAGAGAGAGAGAGAGAGGAAGAGAGAGAGACAAGAGAGAGAGGCGAGAGAAGAGAGGACGAGACGAGACGAGAGAGACAGAGAGACGGAGAGACAGAGAGACAGAGAGACAAAGAGACGGAGAGACAGAGAGATGGAGAGACAGAGAGACGGAGAGACAGAGAGGAGGTAAATGAAAAGTCATAAACTGAAGTGTAAAAAAAAAAGGAGAGAGGAAAGAGTCATACCATCGTTTTAGCGTCAGCGAAAGGGGCCTTCAGGAGAACATACCACGCACTTGGTTTCGCTCGCAACAAGGACGCCCCGTGCAGGACACCTCCCTCCTTCTGCAGTGCCTCCTCCAAGACGTCTGCCAGCTGCTTGGAGGGCGTCTGGGAATTAAGAAAGGGTTAAATTTTGCTTCCCATTTGCACGTCTTATCTCACTTGCACACGCAAACATCTCTCTATCTCTCTATCTATCTATCTATATACACATACACACACACATATAAATACAAATATATATATATATTATATATATATATATATATGTATGTATGTATGTATGTATGTATGTGTGTATGTGTTGTGTGTGTGTGTGTGTGTGTGTGTGTGTGTGTGTGTGTGTGTGTGTGGTGTGTGTGTGTGTGTGTGTGTGTTGTGTGTGTGTATACATACATAAATACATGTATATATATATATATATAAATATATATATATTATATATATATATATATATATAATATATATATATATATATTATATATATATATATATATATATATATTACTATATACATACATAATGTGTGTGTCTCTATATGTTTATATATATGTATATATTTAGATATATTCATTTATACATATACGTACATTCATAGATGTATATACGTACATACATGCAAATGGACGGAGGATAATGAGATGAAGAGGAAGGGCAGAGAGGAGGAGGGAATAGAGATGAAGAACTGAGAGAAATGTGTGTGAAGTCAATGGAGGCACAACAGTTATGCCCACGGTATGGTGTTAAAGACAGGTCATAGTAATACAGTATGGTTCAAGTGGTTGGATAAATTCTAGAGAAAAACATTATCCATTTTCGAAATCCTTGTTCCAAAATTTTCAATAGCAATATAATCATCCTTGTTGCAAGATACTAGCGTTTTTTCAGACATTGTGGGAATATTATTTTCTTGGTGTATTTACAATTTACTACGGATGAGGGAGTTCTGGCAACACTGACCGACCGACTGTCGATAATTCAATTCAATTTCTTTATTGTACAAGATAATAGCAAAGGACAAGGACATAGGAATGACACTGTGTATTCAGAAGTCCATAAGAAGATGCATTAGAACAAATATATATGTGAATAAGTACTATAAATGGAAAACGGTTGTGAATAGCTCAAGACACCAACAACGAAAGCTTTATATTAATCAAAATTGTGGTAATGATGGTACAATGAAAGGGTTTAGTGATGTCTGTAAAACATCAAATAGCCACAAAATCACTTGTTATACAACTTGTTACTGAGTGCATTACTGAATCATGAGCATTCAAACTGTCACAATTGCTCATGCGTCTGGCAGCGCTGTTGTACTCCTCTCGTTATGCATTTCATGTAGTCCATGTTCTTTCAATCAACCCTACCGTTACTAAGTGCAAGAAAGCGTCGTGGAAACATTTATCACCAAGCTTATAATTAAAGCCATTCTAATGACACTACAACAAGATCAGTAATACAAACAGCGATGGTAATAATGATAACAGACTGACCTTTCCGCTTCCATTCATGATAGAAATCCGAGGTACGACAGTTCCTGCAGTTATCGACGAGTTCAATCACAATAGATGAACAAAAAAGATATATAGGACTCTTGTCTCGAGAAATTGTCTTCTTGTTTACACCTATATATCCTTAAGAAATATTGTTGCACTTGATCATATCACTGCGGTATGATAGGAAGAGGTCCGGGCGCTGTTGACGGAGATGTGTCAAGTGTGCAACTGTTGTGCCTGAGTTGGCGGAACTCGGAAAAAAAAAACTTTTTTGAGGTTATTCTCTAAGGACTTGTTTTCCTGAGAGAGAAATGGAGATCCTCATTCGCTCATCTTGTCTGTCGTGATTTTCTACAAAGGTTCATGGTATAATGTCATCGGTTAAAATACAGTACGAACTTTTTCTTAGTTGCTGCCGCGCACGTAACAAGAACGGAACGCGTACAGATCATTGAGCAATACTGCGTATGGATACATGACGTAGCTCTTATTCTCTCTCTCTCTTCTCTCTCTTCTCCTCTCTCTCTCTCTCTCTTCTCTCTTCTCTCTCTCTCTCTCTCTTATTCTCTCTCTCTCTCTTCTTATTCTCTCTCTTCTCTCCTCTCTCTCTCTTATTATCTCTCTCTCTCTCTTCTCTTCTTCTCTCTCTCTCTCTCTCTCTCTCTACTCTCTCTCTCTCTCTCTTATTCTCTTCTCTCTCCTCTCTCTACTCTCTCTCTCGATTGCAATGGTTCATGCTGACAATCATTGCTTTTCATTCAGTTCTATGTTGTGCTATGTGCCTGTCTGTTGTCTATCCCTCCCTTCCTACTCTCTCTCCTCTTCTCTCCCTCTCTCTCTCTCTTCTCCTATCTTCTCTCTCCTTCTCTCCTCTTCCCCCCCTCTCTCTTACCTCTCTCCTCTCTCTTTACTTCCTCTCTCCCTCTCTACTCTCTCTTTCCCTCTCTCTCCCTCCTCTCTCTTACTCTCCCTCTCTCTCTCCTCTCTCTCTCTCTCTCCTCTCTCTCTCTCTCTCTCTCTCTCTCTCTCTCTCCCTCTCTCTCCTCTCTCTCCCTCTCTCTCTCTCATCTCTCTCCTCTCTCCTTCTCTCCCTCTCTCTTACTCTCTTTCTCTCTCTCTCTTACTCTCTCTCTCCTCTCTCCCTCTACTCTCTCTCTCTCTTACTCTCTCTCTCTCTCTCTCTCCCTCTCTCCTCTCTCCTCCCTCCTCTCTCTCTCTCTCTTCTCTCTCTCTCTCTCCCTCTCTCTACTCTCTCTCTCTCTCTCTCTTACTCTCCTTCCCTCTCTCTTACTCTCTCTCTCCCTCTCTTTACCTCTCTCTCCCTCTCTCTTACTCCTCTCTCCCTCTCTCTCTTACTCTCTCTCTCCCTCTCTCTACTCTTCTCTCTCTCTCTCTTCTCCTCTCTCCTCTCTTCTCTTTCTCTCTCCCTCTCTCTTACCTCTCTCTCCCTCTCTCTCTCTCTCTTCCTCTCTCCTTACTCTCTCTTACTCTCTCTCTCCTCTCTCTCTCTTACTCTCTCTATCTCTCCCTCTCTCTACCCTCTCTCTCTATCTCTCTCTCTTCTCTCTCTCTCCCTCCTCTACTCTCTCTCTCCCTCTCTCTTACTCTCTCTCTCCCTCTCCCCCTCTCTTTGTGATTTATCATTTGATTTATATAATGCTATATCTCAAAATATTTGACTTCTCAAAGGAGGCGAAGATGGAGAAAACGAAACAAAGGAAGAAAGTGGAACGACAGGTGCAGTACGAAAAAGAAAATGAAAATAGAATAAGAATGGGAATAGGAAGGAGAAAGAGATAGAGGAGCTGTATAAGAAGAAGGAGAAATAGGAGATGAAGAAAGAGAAGAGAAGAAGGAGGAGAGAAAGAGGAGGAAGAAATACGAGAAGAAAAAGATGGAGAGGTAGAAGAAGGGAAAGTAAAAGAGAAGAATAAAAGAATTATATTACCCTCGTTGATAAATGATCGAGATTAGGCAGTGATGGAGACATGGCGAGTGTGGAGATGTGGTGGTTTGGCGAAACTCGAAGAGAAAACGTTTTTGAGACCAAGTCATGGCTTAAAATACGTTGTTTTTTCCTAACGGATGGAACAGGTACAGAACGAGTACGGACCACCGAGCAGCACTGCGGTTCAATACACGTAGTAGCTCTTATTCTCTCTCTCTCTCTCTCTCTCTCTCTGTCTTTCTCTTTTCTCTCTCTCTGTCTCTGTCTGTTTGTCTCTGTCTGTCTCTGTCTGTCTCTTTTCTCTCTCTCTGTCTGTCTCTTTTCTCTCTCTGTCTGTCTCTCTTTCTCTCTGTCTGTCTCTGTCTCCTTCTCTCTCTGTTTCTCTTCTCTCTCTCTCTGTCTCTTTCTCTCTCTGTCTGTCTCTGTCTCTTTTCTCTCTCTGTCTCTGTCTGTCTCTTTTCTCTCTCTGTCTGTCTCTGTCTCTCTCTCTCTCTTTTCTCTCTGTCTGTCTTCTCCTTTCTCTTCTCTGTCTCCTTCTCTCTCTCTCTGTCTGTCTCCTTTCCTCTCTCTCTGTCTGTCTCCTTCTCTCTCTCTCTCTGTCTGTCTCCTTTCTCTCTCTCTCTCTGTCTGTCTCCTCTCTCTCTCCCTCTGTCTTCTCCTTTCTCTCTCTCTCTCTGTCTTCTCTCTCTTCTCTCTCTCTCTCTCTGTCTCTTTTTTCTGTCTCTCTCTCTCTCTGTCTGTCGTCTCTGTCTCTTTTCTCTCTGTCTCTCTCTCTCTCTCTGTCTGTCTCTGTCTCTTTCTCTCTCTGTCTGTCTCTGTCTCTTTCTCTCTCTGTCTGTCTCTGTCTCTTTCTCTCTCTGCTTGTCTCTCTCTTTCTCTCTCTGTTCTGTCTCTGTCTCTTCTCTCTCTCTTCTGTCTCTGTCTCTTGTCTCTCTGTCTTCTCTGTCTCTTCTCTCTCTGTCTCTCTCTCTCTGTCTGTCTGTCTCTCTCTGTCTCTGTCTCTTTCTCTCTCTGTCTGTCTCTGTCTCTTTCTCTCTCTGTCTCTGTCTCTTTCTCTCTCTGTCTGTGTCTGTCTCTCTTTCTCTCTCTCTCTCTGTCTGTCTCTGTCTCTTTCTCTCTCTGTCTGTCTCTTCTCTCTCTCTCTCTCTTATTCTCTCTAACTCTCTCGATGCCATGGTTCATGCTAGACAATGCAATACTTTATCGTTTAGTCTGTCTGTCTGTTATTCTGCCTATCTCTGTCTCTTCGCCTCCCTTCCCTCTCTCCTCTCCTTCTCTTACTTTCCACTGATTCATGACCTCCGCTAAGTTATTGATTCTGATAGCGCTGATTAGTTTATATGTTCGTTTTCAAGAGAAGTGGCAAGGGTGGGTTGTAATAAGTTGCCAGACGTATGATACATATAAACAGAGGGTTGACTCAATTCCAGCCATAGGGCAAGGACTTCTTCAAGGATTGAATACAAGCTTCTTTGAGGTTGGTGCTCTCGCTCACACACAAACACTATCTTTCTCCCCCCCCCCTCCTTCTCTTTCTCTCTCTGTACACCCACACACACCCACACCCAACCCACGCCACCACCCACACACCCACACCACACACAGCGCGCACCCACCCACCCACACCCACACACACGCGCGCACCCACCCACATACCCACACACACACACACACACACACACACACACACACACACACACACACACACACACACACACACACTCGGTTTACTTGCATTCATTTGTTTTCAAATTTGCATTATAAAAGGCATTTGCCATAATACATATCGAAGTAAACTTTAGACTAGCCTTAGTGCAAAGTAAAACCGAGAGAGAGAGAGAGAGAGGAGAGAGAGAGAGAGAGAGAGAGAGAGAGAGAGAGAGAGAGAGAGAGAGAGAGAGAGAGAGAGAGAGAGAGAGAGAAAGCGATCCACGTATTACCATTTGTCGTGCCCCTGTATCGGTATTCGATCTCTCAACATAGAGAATTTACTAGACGCGTCTGGACACTAGATGTGTTCCCGACAGTGTGCAAAGGCAATAACCATGATTCCTATGAATGTTTGTAAATGAATACACATGTGTCATAACTGCATTTAGTATGGACTTTTAGCCATTTTATTTTTTGGATTTGCAGGGTGATGCGATCAAGTGTTTTGATATTACCTAAAGCAAGTCTTGCAGCAAGGTTTTGTAATTTTAGTACTTTTTGCATCTAGTTGTTGAACGCCAAAAATTTGAACAATAGTTAATTATGCTTAAAGCTATTATTTTTGTGCACTTTGTCAACGTGTGGTTCAATTGCCATCAATCTGTCTAGATGTACTCCTAGATTTTTCACTGAAGTGTTTGGTTTGATAGAGCAGCCTTCAAATTCTATGGCTGTGTCATTGGAAATTTTAGCTATGTTCTGCCGACTACTTATGTACTGCCTCCAGTAAAACACAAGCAGTCAGTTAAATCTTTATTGTCATGTTCACAAGCTGGTAGGTATGAGCAGTGTATCCAACTTGCAAGATGACAACATACACGTACGCGTGAGCGAGCGTGCACGTGATTGTGGTGAAAAGCTGTAAGAAAATAAATCTTCACAGTTTTGGTAATAAAAAGTTGTACACAAATAAAGTAAATGAATCATACAACAAATAATAATATTAATACAATATGAGATAGAAATATTAAGAACAAATCAATAGAAAATTATAAAAATACTGCAAGACTCGCATACATATAAACATTAAACAAACAAATGACTTTTTGAAAAGGAAACAAAACATTATTCTTTGGTAAATAACTGAAATAAAGCTTGGTAAAAATATGAGTACAATAGGAATGGGACTTACTTAAATCACATAATTTCAAGTTATATATATCACGTAAAAGACACAACTTTGTTATTAACATATGCTCTAACATCTGAACAATACATTATTATCAGTGTAAATAATTGACACAGTGTGGCTAGCCCAAATCTTCATTAAACAAGAATAATTTAAAAGAACGCAGCACAAGGCGTTTCTCGTGGCTCTCTAGAGGGGCTCCGCGGATTCACAACAATGCGTTTTTGTAGGGCGTTCGTACAACTCTAACGTCACTGTAGCCAACGTTACAAACTAAATGAAATTAAATAATTCTCTTGTTAATACATTAAATCAAATAAATTCTTGATCTAAATTCTATATATATAATATCAGACAGGGAATCCTTGATTCCTTTACAACCTATGAATATACATCGAGTTTTAAGTGTATTTAGTTTAGGGCCATTAGTGTTAAAGTTGTTTACTGAATAACTATGAAGGAGCTCTGAATCATCGGCTTCCTGCACTAGATATGGGCTATAGTTGATAAATAATTTATGAAAATTGTAAACAGGATCGGACCTAAAATGGATCCTTGCGGAACACCAATAAGTACTTTTTTGTTTTGATGACATACAATCATTGATTCTTACCGATTCGGTCCTTGTATATAAATAATTTTTGAACCAAGAGGTATCAATCTTATGGTTTACTAATTTATTAAGGAGAATTTCATGGTATTTAGAAAGACAGCAAATTTACCCGATTTTTGTCTATGACATTAAAAATCTCATCAGTAATTTGTAGTAAATCTGTGTCAGTAAATAACCTAATTCTAAAACCGTGTTGCGTTTTAGATAATTCGCTATTGGATTCCAGGAAGCTCATCAGCTGATTTGCTACGCTTTTTTTTTCAAGAATTTTGGATAATATAGTAACAGGGGGATAATTATTCACATCATCTATATCCCTTGCCTTGAAAATTGGTGTTATACCATGTTTCCAAAGCGATGGAAGGACACCAGTGACCAGAGAGGTGTTAATAATGACCGTTAAATGTACAGTTGCGGGTAGACTATCTCTGATAAAGCGTAAGTAATACCGACTGCTCCCAGAACATTTGTTTCGCGAAGGTTTATTACCAAGATGATTGTTTCTACGTCCACTGGTCGTGGTCTGAAAAAAATCAGTTGTGAGCTTTGCCCTACCTGTGTTTTGTTGTAATGTAGAAGCAGTTAGGTGTGAACCTTGTCCGATCTGTTTTGTTGTAATGTAGAAGCATTTGTTTGTTTGTAAGTTACTTTTCCATTTAAAAAGTAATTGAAATGCTCTGTGCTTTTTATAGGATCTGTTCAAACACTTGTGCGGTGCTTGTTGTTTATCAGTGTTTTTC